AATGAAACACATAGAGAAAAAAAATATTTTAATAAAAAGGGCATCACTGAGCTGGAGAAGAACTTTAAGCAGCCTAATATATGTGAAATTGGAATCTAATTGTTTAAGGAAGAGACACCATTCTGAGGATGAAATGATACAGAGTCTAGCAGCTCACTGGAGACCCGAGCTGCTCAGTTACTCTGGGACCACCGATCACTCCGAGATGAAAAGATAAAAGGAGTATTTGCCTACCTCAGCCTTTGCGGCTTGCTTCTACCCAGGGCTGGTGACCAGCACAGGTGTGAGCCAAAAGTTTATTTGGAAAAGGAGGCTGTGCTGTTGACTTTTCCTATTTCACCTCTCCTGTGCTCTCCCCCCGCCCGCAGAACACGCTATCCTGGAAACAGTATACTCACCCTATTTAAACTGGGCCATTAGCTTTCAGGGGTGGCATAACTAGGAAGGAAGCCAGAGTCTTCCTTTCCCTTCAACACTTTAAGAAATTTCCTAGTGAGCAGCAGCTAAACTTTTTAAGAGAAAAAGGTTCAGCTTACTACAAGGAATATAAGGGTTTTTGTTTGTTTGTTTTGAGACAGAATCTCACTCTGTTGCCCAGGGTAGAGTGCCCCAGGTAGGGGCGGATCGGTATTTGCCTGCAGTTCAGCTTTCATGTGCCATTTCTCTGAGAACAGGGACAGGATCCAGGCTTAATCCCTGCCCGACTAGTTGGTTACCAGCTGTGTGATTCCTCATGAATCACTTAATGGCTCTGAGTCCCAGTGTCCTCATCCATACAAAAAAGGCTACATGCCTGCCGCCGACTCTCAGTGTTGGCTGCAAAGCAGAGAGTGTATGTGAAACACAACGAAAACTCTAGAGGCGAGCGCGGATGTAAATAACATCACTGAAAATGAAATGCTTGCCCCACTGAGATGTTAGTTGTCTGCCTCATGGTTCAGCAATCAGCACTAGGCAGAGATCTTTTTTTTTTTTTTTTTTTTTTTTGAGACAGAGTCTCGCTTTGTGCCCACCAGTAGGTGAGTGCCGTGGCGTCAGCCTAGCTCCACAGCAACCTCAATCTCCGTGGGCTCAAGCAACTCCTGCCGCTCAGCCTCCCGATAGCTGGGACCTACAGGCATGCGCCACCGTGCCCCAGCTAATTTTTTATATATATATATTAGTTGGCAATTAATTTCTTTCTATTTTTATAGTAGAGACGGGGTCTCGCTCTTGTTCAGGCTGGTTTCGAACTCCTGACCTCGAGCAATCCGCCCGCCTCAGCCTCCCAGAGAGCTAGGATTACAGGCGTGAGCCACCACGCCCGGCCTTAGGCAGAGATCTTGAACTCTAATAGTTTATAGTTTAATGTAGAGAGAACATTTCTCTATATCTATTTAAGTTAAGAGCTCAGCTGTGGCCACTCTGAGTTGCAGATTGAGTATTCTAAAACAGGGTCCCAAACCATGGGCTGTCTAGGAAGACATCCTCTCTTCCCATGTAGGAACTTCTGCAGCAACATTTCTGACAGCGCCAGCAAGTCACAGCAGGGACCCTGCTGTTAACTCTCCCAAAGGGTTCCCTTCTCATGTGGTCAGTTATGACCATCATTATAAAATTACTCTTTTTTTTTTTTTTTTTTTTTTTGCAACAGAGTCTTGCTTTGTTGCCCAGGCTAGAGTGAGTGCCATGGCGTCAGCCTAGCTCGCAGCAACCTCAATCTCTTGGGCTCAAGCAATCCTGTTGCCTCAGCCTCCCCGAGAGCCTGGGACTGACAGGCATGTGCCACTATGGGCCGGCTAATTTTCTTTCTATATGTTTTAGTTGCCAATTAATTTCTTTCTATTTATATTAGAGATGGGATCTTGAGTCTTGCTCAGGCGTCGGTTCAAACTCCTGACCTTCGGAGCAAATCCGGGCCCGCCTTGCGTCCCAGATGCTAGGATTACAGGCATGGCCACTGCGCCCGGCCTAGAACATTATTCTTAAATGAGAATCCAAAGCTACTTCCACCATTATTTTGCCTACTGGAGTCATATAGAGAAGGTCTTCCCTCTCCTTCATAGA